CTGGGCAATATTAGGGGTGGTTTTGGACATATGGGTTTGGGTTATTTGTGGGGGAACATGGGCAGGGATTAGTGGTTTGTGGTGGGTCAGGATTTTGGCTCTTTTTGGGTGTTGTGTTGGGGTTGTGAAGTGTATTTTGTCCAGGCCTCCAGGGGATGAATGGAATAAAGGGAGGGTTTTATTTGTTTAATAAAAGGCTTAAAAGAAGGAAAACAACAACAAACAAAAGGTTTTATTTTACACACTCTTATTTTCTGCCAGGGCTAAAATAAGAGTAGGAAAAGCTTTATTTTGAAATGAATTAAATGGCAAGGAGTTTTGGATGCTTAGGGTTGGGTTGGACGGAGTGGGATTTGGTCTGCAGAAACCTTGGGTCCGAAGTTATTCAGGCCTCTCAGGTTGAAGGACGTGGAATTCTCACTAAAACGGATCATAATGTTTGAACGTAAGTCCTTTGGTTTTTGCAAGGGTGTAGGACATGGGGGAGGGTATGATAGGGCCAGGCCTGGGTATAACAATAGACAAGAAAGGAATGTGTGAAGAATGGTATGGGTGCAAGTGAATAAAATGCTGTTGGTTGTTGATAGATTGTTCATTCTAAAAGGGGGAAAAAGTTGCTAGAATTATGTTCTTCGAAGTTCATAAATTAGAAGTATGAATTTTTTTACTCTTTGTGTTATCTATTTTCAGCAAAGAGTAAGCAATTGCATTGTTTTTTGTTTTGTCTTCTCCATGAATGTGATCACAGTTTGTCTTTTTAATTAATGTCCACTGGCTCAAACTGGTAATTCATCTCACTTTTTAAGTTTTGTTGATTTTATTTATGAGATTCCGTACAATAAATTGTGTTAAATACATGATATTTGCTGATGTATTATTATCTTTATTTTTTCGAATTGCATGCTGTTCATTAGTGACCCACCGTTTTTAGTATGATAGAAATAGTACAAAATTGTTATGGATTAGGCAAAGATATTTGCCACCAAAGAGGTGAAGATATTTTCCATCAAAGAGGACTCGAGCAGCGAATTCTCAAGAATTAGACATTTTGATTTTGCCTTTGAAAGGCAGTAGAATGAGGGAGACCCGGGTACCTACTTTTAATCTAAGGAGAGGAAAATTATGAGCATTAGTTTAGGTGTGTTTATTTAACTATTAATTTATCGTGCATTTATGAATCTATTTATTACCAAGCAGTTGATGTTCAGGGACATTATCTCACTTTACATTCTTTAAAATTCAACCATGTTGCCTATGTCTATGTTGCACTTTGCAAATTGTAGGTAATCTAATTGTTATGCAACTAGCGCTGGATCCTCAAATTCACGATTGAAGTATGTTGAGCACCTATTCTGATAAAGAAGGGGTCGGTGAGGATACAAAATGCAAGTTTTGCTGCAAGAAAAGGTTACAATGAATGTAATCCCTCTGCCCTCCTTTTCCAATATGATCTCTATTTTGAGGCATTTTTGTGTTACTCTGCCTTATACTTTTGTGCCAAAATCATAACTCTTTTTTGTGTGTGGCAAGAATTAGTTTAGCACTTGCCAAGCTTGCTGCTTCCCTTAATTCATTTGTGGGATTTTCCTCAGCTGCTAGAGTTTTTGCCTCCTTAACCTCTTGAAAGGTATTACCAAATATGGATTTGTTCCACTCCTTGGAAGTCCCCTTTAATCCCTCAAGTCTGTCTGCAAAACCCCTCATTCCCCTCTTCCTTGGGCTATTACACCAGAATTTTTTAACAACATTATGAAATGAGAGACGAGACATCCAAATATTTATAAACATTAAGGGCTTAGGAGTTAGGACCATTATTGTCTCGAGTTATGTGTTGCAGAATGATAGGCTTATGTTATGATGTTGGTTTACTCAAGTGTTTGATGCTTATACATCTAAGTATGATTCTAGAACAGCTTCATTGACCAGAACCGTGTCCAGTCTCCTCCACAACCTTCCTCTGCTGCTTCCTTCCACCTGTCCAAGTGTAAATGCCCATCAGTAGCATGTGGTGTGATTAAGCTGTTAGTCTCTAAGCGGTCCCTGAAATCATTAATTTCTGTCATAGAAGAAGATAGCCTACCCTTGTGTTGAGATAGATTGGCAATGGCATAGAAATCCCTCCCACTATCCCCACTTATGAATTAGCGTGAACTGTGACGCCCTTCCACACTATTCTTCTTTCCATTCCTGAATGCTTCCCACAAAATATACTCTTGGTTTTTGTGCAATGCTCTTTGGTAAACCGGAACTCACAGCTTTAAGATCTGACCCCATTCTGTTCGACTGACTCTGGAGTACCAAATTTCTAGAATTCTAGAAAACTCATACTTTGTTGTTGAGGCCTACCATGCAGTCGGCGAACCCAAGAGATAGTTTAGTACTATCACTTTTATTAGCAAAGACTATTGGTCCTATAATTCCTTTTCTCAACAAAATCAAAGGAGTAAATTTTTAGAAGCAAAATCAACCTAAAAAGTGACGATTGCACACCACAAATATTCCACAAACATATCGTAATTAAACATCCCACAAACTCTGTTTCACAAGATAAATATATATTTGGTATAAACATTATACATGCATGCATACATACCTACGTATGTACGTGTGTGTGTGTATGTATATATATATATACATATATATATATATATATAGATTTTGGTTCTGATGAGAATGCGATCTTAGGAGAGAAATGAGAATGAATATATATATATATATATATATATATATATATATATATATATATATATATATATATATATATTCATTCTCATTTCTCTCCTAAGATCGCATTCTCATCAGAACCAAAATNGATTGCACACCACAAATATTCCACAAACATATCGTAATTAAACATCCCACAAACTCTGTTTCACAAGATAAATATATATTTGGTATAAACATTATACATGCATGCATACATACCTACGTATGTACGTGTGTGTGTGTATGTATATATATATATACATATATATATATATATATAGATTTTGGTTCTGATGAGAATGCGATCTTAGGAGAGAAATGAGAATGAATATATATATATATATATATATATATATATATATATATATATATATATATATATATATATATATATATAGAGTATCATCATCATCTCTCAATGGTCAAAAAACCAAAACACTGCCATGCCCAAAAACTCAAAATCCAGAGCTTCTTCTGATCATATAACTCATATAATATCTAAGTCTTCTAATAATCACAAATAAATGTCTTTATTTTTTGCAAAGTTTTTGTTCCATTTATCGGCATCCAAGATCTTATGAAATCGTGTTGTTGTGTCCAACTCAACCAATAATCTTATCTCATATAAACAATTCTTTCCACGCACCTTCTTTGTGTTGATCTCAGCATCGATGCCAGTTTTCTCGGCAACCATTGTATGAAAGCTTTTTTGGTTCACTTTTCTCCATTTTGTTCCTTTTTCAACTAAAGTTTGTCTGAAAAATACAACCAAATATATAAATTATTCTTAAGCTATATAAATTTTATAATGTTCTCTTTTACAAATTTCCAATGACTCAGTAGTCGAGGGCAAATGTGTTGCACTCATCACTCATCAGTCAAAGTAAAGACACATTTCGTGCATGTTTGAAGTTGAGGTCAATAGAAGCATGAATTGAAAGGTAGGTATGTTAAACAAAAATATTGATGCTTCATTAATGGACATATTATTTTACGATGAAAGTTTTTAATTTTTCATGTATGCAATGCGACAGGTTCTAAATTTGTTTTAGTGTTGCAGCAACTGAAAATTATGGTTCGTGGTATTACACTTCTTGTAAAAAATGTTCAAGGAAATTCTTTCCTAATGACATGACTTTTGATTGTGGAGTGTGTGATGTTAGAATAGTTACATACATGCTCTTTTAGTGATGAACGAGAACTGATTTACTTCGTTGTTGAGTTTCAATCTTAACATGAAGTAGTCTGCGATCGAAAGGCTCATTTCGAACCGACCATGTTTTGTCCATTACTCGAAAATGAAGTCATCTGTGGATCGCGCGACACATGAATCGATTTTCAGGCAAGTGGAATCTCCTTATGTGTTTTGCACAACAGTGGTACATCAAGCTCTTTATTGTTTAGTGGACTCTTCTTACGGCGACGTGCGGACCAAATTCTATGTAAGACCCTTGAATTAACGCCTGTTCTAAGCCCTTTCTGTTGAGCTGCTTTATGTGTTTTTACGCTGAAAGAAAATCACAATGTGATTAATCAAGGTTGTCAAAGCCCCTAGGCGAGACGAGGCGCTAACGTACATTCAAATTTCATATTGCCCTGGCGACTAAGCACATGCTTAGGCGCCTTTTGGGCAACACATATATATATATATATATATATATATATATATATATATATATATATATATATATATATATATATATACAAGGAAACCTATACATACATACGTACAAACCTACCTACATAGGTATATACATTAATACATACATACTTTGATGTTACCTTACATACATTACATTACTTACATATGTTACATACATTACATATGACGTTACATTACTTACATATGTTACATACATTACATATAACGTTACAATACTTACATATGTTACAGACAAAAGACGTTACATTACTTACATATGTAAGTAATGTAGCGTATGTAAATTAATGTATGTATGTATGTATGGATGTATGTAATGTAACGTAACTTATGTAACATATGAAAGGTAACATCTGTAAGGTATGTATGTATTAATGTATGTACCTATGTAGGTACATTTGTACGTATCTTTGTATGTATGTATGTATAGGTCTCCTTGTAGAATATATATATATATATATATATATATATATATATAGCCTAAATGTCGCCTAAGCATGTGCCTAGTCACCACAGTGATATGAAATATGAATGTACGTTAGTGCCTCATCTCGCCTACGGTCCTTGACAACCTTGATTAATCTCATAGTGATTTTCTTTCAGTACGTAAAGACACATAAAGCAGCTGAGCAGAAAGAGCTTAGAACAGGCATTATAGAGAGTTTATGGGTCTTACATCGAATTTGGCCCGTATGTCGCTGTAAAAGGAGTCCACTAAACAATAAGGAGCTTGATGTACCACTAGTGTGCAAAGCACATAAGGAGATTCCACTTGTTTGGAAATCGATTCATGTGTCGCAATCCACTGATGACTTAATTTTCGAGTAGTGGACAAAACATGGTAGGTTCCTAGGGAGCCTTTCGATCGCAGACTACTTCATGTTGGGAGTGAAACTCCACAACGAAGTAAATTAGTTCTTATTTATCACTAAAAGAGCATGTATGTACCTGCTCTAACATCACACATTCCTCAATCAAAAGTCACATTATTTCCTTGGACAATTTTTACAAGAAGTGTAATACAACGAACCACAATTTTTAGTTGCTCGAACACTGAAACAAATCTAGAACCTGTGCATTTCATATATATGAAAAATTAAGAATTTATTTAGTAAAATAATTTGTTCATTAATGAGGCATCAATATTTTTTGTTTCACATACCTATCTTTAAATTCATGCTTCTTTTGACCTTAACTTCACACATGCACGAAATGTGTCTGTTCTCTGACTGATGAGTGCAACACATTTTCCGCTCGACTACTAAATCGTTGAAATTTGTAAAAAAAAAACCTTTATAAAATTTATATAGCTTAAGAATAATTTATATATTTGGTTGTATTTTTCAGACAAGAAATCTCTAGTTGAAGAAGGAACAAAATGTGGAAGAAAGTGAACGAAAAAAACTTTCACACAATGGTTGCCGAGAAAACAGGCAATGATGCTGAAATCAACGCAAAGGTGCGTGGAAAGAATTGTTTATATGAGAAAAGATCGTTGATTGAGTTGGACACAACAACAGGATCTCATAAGATCTTGGATGCCGATAAATGGAACAAAAACTTTGCCAAAAATGAAGACTTTTATTTTGTGATGATCTATATATGTCTATATACACACACACACACACATATATATATATATAATCTGTGTGTGTATGTGTATATATATACACACACATGAGGAAGAACTCGTACAAATCCAAGCACGTGAAGTAAAGGAACTGAGGAACAAGACAATTCCCTTAGTCAAGGTGCTTTGTCAAAACCATGCCGTGGAAGAGGGAGACTGAGGAGTCCATGCAAGCTCAGTATCCTCAACTCTTCACTGACCAATGACTCAGGTAATTCCGAGGACAAAATTATTTTAAGGGGGAGAAAAATGTGCCCCAAAACCCAGCTTATCAGGATTAATCAAAAATAACTATTATTTGTTTGATAAAAAGGTTTATACCGTTGTGTAGGGCTCGACAAAATGAATCCAATGGTGCAAATAGATTTGAATTTGGAGCTCAAGGGCCCAAAAAGTGCGTTTTGCCCAGGTACGTTAATTAATTACAGAGCCCGTTAATTAATTACAGAGCCCAAAACCCCCAAAAGTATATATAATACCTTACATGCCTCAAACCCTCACGAAAACTTATATTTACATAACACTACCTCATGTCTCAACCCTCTCTCTCTCGTTCTCTCGGATCTCTTAGTCAACCAGAGGCAGCAGCGAAGAACAAGGAGAAGAAAGAAGAGGAAAGAAGAAAGAAGAGGAAAGGAGGAAGGAAGCTGTGCCATTCCCCGTTCGTTGAAATCATCTTGTAGTTCTATTCGTCGTAATCAAGGTGAGTACGTGGACATCTAACGTATAGTTATATCCGTAGATTTGAAACTTACGTTCGTCAAATCGTTACGATTGAGTTATATGAAGCCCTATATGAATTATGCATTGTTTATAGAAGAAAATAATCGGTATAGGTATGATTATAATGATGTTAGATAATGTTTGGAATGGTATTGTGAACCTATTGATGACTATTGGTATGGAATTGGTGTGGGGTTACTGCTGGAAAACGAGATTGGTGCAGGGACTGTAATTTGTCGCGTGAGATGGTACGGCCGGGACAGTACTGTGCTATTGCCACAATCTGTTCTTCCCATTTGGACGGGTGGTAGGCCCGTTTAGTACCTAGGTACCGGACAGGTGGTAGACCCTACTACCTGGTCGGTAGCTGGCTACTGTGATAGGCCTACCGGAAAGGTAAGTTATGTTCGGTCAGTAGCCCGTACCGTGGGGTCGGTACTCGGTACCCAGGCACTGTAGGGGCGATATCCTGTACCGGGATATGTATCTGGTAACTTATTTCGGGTCTGTTGGTTGTGTTTCCATCAAGGATAGATTCCGGGATAGGTATCGACTTTGTGTGTTGCATGACAGTAAACATGGGTGTTTATACCTAGTGTTAGGCCGCTATTTGATCATGTTTGGATATATCTCGATAATGCATTGTTGATTTGCGACTGTTGTACTATGAAACTGTTAATGGGTTATTAAACACACACACACACACACACACACACACACATATATATATATATATATAAAATATGTTTAAACCACTGGTTCGACCAGTAAACCAGTGAACCAGTACCCAGACCGGTTCGGTCCCCCGTCCGGTTTTTAAAACTATGGTATGTTTGCCATAAATGCGAGAGAGAAAGATATTGTTAATAAGTTCTTGACTATGGAATAGGATGCTCAGCATTTGGCCCATGTCTGTATGAGAGATGTAGTTGAATTATCTTCATTCCACATGATCAAATTTTTATTTGTGATGCTACTGATAGAGTTGGAGAATCCAAGTTGTAATTGGAATTTGATAAGCTGTTTGGTAGAGATTTTAGGTTCTATAATCAGAAACAAGGAGACTTTTTGTTTAGTAACCAGGATTGCTAGCCTCTCACTTTTAGAAGCTAGTCCAAAAACATTCCAAAATAAGCAGTTCATTGGGAAACTGATTTATTTGAAGTGTCTGAGGATGCTTTTCTTGCAATCTTTTAGATTTCCTTGTTTGGATAGTAGTAAATCATTCATCGTCATTATAATCTTTGTTGAGGGTAGTGTCTTTCTCTGATTCATGGCTGATGGTGAGGGTTCAAGGGTTTACTCTTTCTTCCCAGTATTCTTTCTGCTGTGTTCTCCATCTGAGTAGTAGGAAACATTGTATGATATTTCTTGGTGTTGTATGGATGAGTCATCATTAGAAACTTGTGGGTTTCTTTCTTTTGTGTCATGAGTTCAGTAGTTTCAGAGTCCTCAGGGGCAAGGTTTGGCAGGCTGAGAGGTTTGAGGATGATCAGGAAAGGGGTGCTGCATTCTGTGGTAAGGGGTGAGAGGTGTTAATAGGGTTAACTGTGGTTGTGTATGATGCCATTGGATCAGGACTGGGTTTGTTTTTTTAAGCTCAAATGTTGGGTTTTGTTCAAGTGTTTGGTTTTGTGATTGCTTGGGAGAATTATTATGGGGGTTTCTGCGATTGGTGGTTTTTGGATTGTAGTTGCTTGGTTTTTTTGGGTTTGGGGGATTGGATGGGGGGAAAAGTTTTGTGGGAGGATTAAATGTATGGGTTTGGGTTATAGCTATTGGGGGATTTTGTGATTCATTGATGGGTTGGGCCTGGGTCCCAGTGTTTTATTTTCTTTTCAAAATTTTGATGAGAGCTTTGTCTGTTTGTTTTTGGGGATTTTGGTTACCAGTTTCCCTTTTTCTGGTTGGGTGGCTGTGGATTTGTTCTTGAAGTTAGAACAATCCTCATTGTGCCTGGAAATACCTCTACAGACATGTCAAAATTCAGGGATATCTTTGAAAATGGCTTCAAGGAGTAGGGGTTGGGGTCCATTTTGGAAAATGAATTTTGTGGTTAGAGGTTGAGAGATATCTACTCCTACACATATTCTCGCGGGGGGCGCCCAAAATTTTTAGTGGTAGTGTCAAGTTTGATACGGGTACCAAATATGTAACAATGTTTTATGATAAAAGTATTTTTAAAACTATATTTTAGTACAACAATGTTTTATCTCTATCTTTGACCAAAATTAAAGGAAATTTTCAAGATAATGATTTTTTGTTAAAATCAAGTATTATGGATAGATCTCAAAGAGACGAATCCAACTATATGTTTTATGAATAAATTTGATTTATAGATTTTGAGTTTTGAAATTATTAAAATATTAAAATTTGTAACTTGTTTAAAATTAAGAAGTGATCGTGGGTGATGGTGGCATCGTCGGCCATGTGAATCATCATTAACTTAGCCCAATTGATTTGTGCGATGTGCATCATGGCATGGATGATCTTGAGATCCTCACTGAACATCGTCATGTGACTGCTATCTCGAGGTTTGAGAATCTGGGTGATGATGTAGAACAATAGTCGGTTCTCCAGAGAGGCCGAGTGGATGGTCTAGCATCTTGGGGCATGTCAAAAGAGTTTGGTCATGCCGAGTTTGTCTATGATCAACCCTTCATTGTTCAATACCCAGTCATCTCCACATTAAGCTCTATAGGTTGGAATTTGACCATAAAGTAGATGACGTCTCCTTCATGCCGGAGGTTGGATTAGAAGACCCGAACTAGTGCAAGATTGAACAGCCATGGCCTAGTTGATGGAGCTGAGCATCTAGGGTATCATATCCCTTTCTTTTCAGATAGTTCTCCGGGAGAATCCTTGGAGGAGCAACTGCCTGGTTGGAAAAATTGGTGAAAACCGGCTGAGTTCCTCACAGATTTCAAACTGCAAAAATGCACCATTCAAGTAGTTGAATTTAGGCTCGGTAGAACTTGTGGTTCCCTTTGATTTGCCCTCTAGTCTTCGATTTTCTCTTGGCCATGGCAAGAGTTTTGTGATTAAACTTATGAGGAGGGAAAAGTAAGCCTAAAATATCCAAGAGCGAGAGGTTTGTGAGTGAGAATAGCATATATATATATATATATATATATATATATATATATATATATATATATATATATATATATATATATATGGGGTGGTTCAGGTGAGAATGGACCTTGGTGAAAGAAATAAGAATAAAATTTAGCCTTTAGATCTGATGCATCTTGCACTCAGATTCTGAGATGGTGAATTTTTAAAGGATTTTGGTGCATTTCGACATGATGCATTTTCAAATCATTTTGGTGCACCTAATTTCGATGTAATCCTGACCCTTAGATCTCACAATCTAAAGCACCAGACTCATTTTTATTTCTTTCATAAGATCGCATTCTCACTTGAAGCAATATATATATATATATATATATATATATATATATATATATATATATATATATATATATATATATAGCTTCAAGTGAGAATGCGATCTTATGAAAGGAATAAAAATGAATCTGGTGCTTTAGATTGTGAGATCTAAGGGTCAAGATTTCATCAAAATTAGGTGCACCAAAATGGTTCGAAAATGCATCACGTCGAAATGCACCATAAACCTTCGAAAATGCACTATCTCAAAATCTGAGCGCAGGATGCAATCTGAGCCACACGATGCATCAGATCTGACGGCTAGATTTTATTCTCATTTCTCTCCACAAGGTGCATTCTCACGGGAACCGGCCTATATATATATATATATATATATATATATATATATATATATATATATATATATATATATATATATATATATATATATATATATATATATATATATATATATATAGACACACACATATATGTGGTTCTCCTTATAGAGATGGTCATAGGGTTGATTGGCGAACCACACCACCAGGGTTTGATCCTGAGAAGGGGCAACTTTGGTGGAATTTTAAGGAAGTTAAACGTGCTCGCCATGGAGTAGCAGAAATGATGGGTGACCCCTGGAAGTGTTTGTAGATTTATTGGGTTGTGGTTTAGATTGGGCTTTCATTGGGCTTCTTATCATATATATATTTATTTATTTATTAAGAAGAAAATTTTATTAAAATAAAAATAAAAGGAAAGAGGGGTGGCTCGGTCCCCAACAATAAAGCCAAAGCAAGAATAGCCAATCCAATACGAGATACACATAAAGAAGCTAAAACAAAAAGCCAAGAAAAAGAATCCAAGAGCAAGAAAACAGAGAGATGCCACAACCATTCCAGGTTCAAAGTGAGCACAATAGGACACCTTGGTTTGCTTGGATAGAAGGTCCAAATACTTCACAAACAAGTTGCAACTTCCAACATTGAAAAGATTTTTGAATGAGTAATACGGAGTGTGCAATACCATGTTCTGCTGTCCCTAGCACGTATACCTCCTCAAAGATAGATTAAACAATAGGACTACCACCAATGAAGATGCCAACAAAGAGATAAAAGCA